GAAAAATATAGGTCGAAGATTTATAGTAAATATGTTTATAGATTTTTTTTTCTTCTTTGGTATATTTGTGCATATAAAATTTAACATTGAGATTTCCATACTCTTTTTAATTTTTTGTTTCTCAACTTATAAAAATTGTGTTGTTTTATAATTCATATTTGTTTCTTAATTTAAATTTCTATTTCCTCTCTATTTTTTTATTGTTTATAGTCTCTCTATTTTCTTTCCTAATTTTATTTGTTTAATTTGTTTAAACTATTTTAATTATTTTTTCCTACCTATTTGAGATTATTAGAAATTTTCTTTTTTACTATTTGGTTGGTTGTTTTGACAATTATTTTGTTCGTTTTCCATTTTTAAATTTACTTTTTTTTAATCAATTTTAAGTTTTAATTCATGTCATCATCTATTCAATATTGGGCATATTTTATGATCTGATGAATTATAATTTTGCTTAAGTGTCAAACTCTCGTCGATAATATTTTTTATTTGAATTTTTTCTCTCTAATTTTTTTTAGGGTTTATACTTTCTCTATTTTCTTTCTTAATTGAATTTGATAATTATTTTAAACTATAAAAAAATTTCTTGTTTTCTTATATTTGGTTAGTTACTTTATAAGTATTTTGTTCGTTTTCCATTTTTAATTTTATTTTTTTAATTAATTTTAGGTTTTAACACATTTTTAATTTACTTTTTTTCTCTAAATTCGATGAAGATGAAGAGATTATGAGAATTGGGCACAAAAATAAATTATGAAAGGTATCGATATTATTATATAGAGTTTGTCTTTTCCTTTTTTTTATGAAAGGTTTCGTGGAAACATAAAATATGGTAGTTTTTCTTCTTTTTTTTCATTGCACGTGACTTGTTTGAACAGACATAATACTTGTTCCTTTGTCTTTAGTCACTTGCGTTTTGTTAATTTTCTATTTTCGTTTAATGTAATTGAAATTTATTGTTTAAATGTTAAGAAAATCTTCGACTTCCCCTTAGTGACTTTTTCGTTTTTTTTTTCGATTAATGACTTTTTTGAACAAACATAATACTTGTTCTTTTTTTTAGTCACTTGCGGTTTATAATTTTTCTGGTGTAACCTTTTTGGACCAG